ACTGTCCTCTCCCCCCCCATCAAGCCATTAAACAAACGCCGGAATTTTTTCCTTCTCTAGTTTTGCTCCGCTTTCTTTTCTTTTTTAATTTTTTTTCGAAGGGGTTCATGCGATTCACGAAAACCGCCTACTTAGCTTGGTAATGCCCAACGTGCAACAAAGTTCTGCCAATATTTTCCGATTTTTTTTATTTTTCTCGTTTTATCAGCAAAACGACGAGTGTTCAGGGAACTGCTAAACGTGGCATCGGAACAGACACGACGAAATGAGCCAAGAACAGCTGCCGTTGTGGCACCGACGACGTTCGGGGTGCACCACTCGAATGGAGATATGAGCAGACCGACTGCAAATCGCACGGAGACGCTGATTGATGATGTCGAGAGTAGTCCTGGGCGTAGTGCAATGCGGTAAGGACCTCTTCAACTTGTCAGCAGCTTCTTCAAGGAACAGTCTACGCTGACCATGTGGGCGGAGACAGTTAACCGTTGCCCTTTCCGCATTGACTCGCTACTTGCATCATCAGTCTGTCTGCGCCCGTATTATCAGCGTGGACTATGTCTTTCATAGAAATACCTAGTTTCAGTATGAAATGTAGTGAAAATCCCTAGCGTTGAAATGGCTGGGGTACAACATCGTGATGTGTGAAATGGTGGTGTCAATACGACCCCCCCACCTGAAGGAGGGTCTCGGTACGACCCCCCCCTTTCCTCAACACCTACCTACCACTTTCCTACAAGTTCCAAGCTTCCAGTTTTTCCAAAATTTCCCACATTTTCCAGTTTTTCAACCAGAAATTTCCCATCGAGCGGATAGGAGGGGGTATATGCCGATGTGAAACGGGGAAAACCGCGAAAAGTCAACAACCGGTAAAAATTTTCTCCCAACGCGGCAAGTTCCTCTGTAAGACACATACGACTCTCCCCTCTCCCAACAGCGGCCAAATACGACCCTCCTCCCCAGCGGCCAAGTAGGACCCCCTCCCTTCTTCCATCCCCCATTCGTTTCGCATAACGATGCTGTACCGTGGCTGGGGATCCGGCAAT